ATCCGCCTTAAGTCCATCTCTAGTGTCGCTTACATCTGATGGCAGCGGTGACCACGAGCCTCACAACGCCGATAGTCCGCCGACCGCTCTGCAGCGCTACGCTACCTGCCGTCTGTCGCCGATCACGCTTCTGTTTCGGGGTAAGTCCACTCTTGTGTATGGCCAGTTTCTTACCCCCCCGAACACCTACCTATAAGTTACCTGGTTCCCTTAAGACCTTCGTCCTTTTCACATTCTCTCTGTAATCAAAATCTCCGACTGATAATTCTTTGTTGCCTTGAACCTTACACTCAGATCTCCACTGTTAACTGCATATGTCCGATCACACAGCACGACCTTTCACACGCAGCCGAGCACAGTCTATCTTGGAAATAGATGCAGCTATAGTTGGTGTAGAAAAGACATTTTCTACAAACAAGTAAACGACACCGCACATTTCACCAGCGATTCTCCTTTACATAACGTTACACACCCTCCTCCCCCCCCTTCCCCTACATCCCCTCGTCCCCGTGCACTCTCCACAATGCCTTCAGACCCCCCCACAACCACTAACCCAACCTTCCTCCAGCCCTATTCTGTTGTTACCAAGTTTGACGGCAGCTTGAAGCTAGACATAGATTCCCTGATCAAGGAAATTGAGGAATTCATAGTATCAGCGGGGACACCGAGATCAGACAACGGGTTCGATAAGAAATGTTTAAATGCTGTTCATTCCCGTCTTGACCTTACCTCACCAAAGGTTAGGGAAGCGTTTCATGCTTTTGACCAACAACCTAACCCCTCGTGGGAATTGTTTAAGCAAGAATTTGGCATTCTATTCAGACCCTCTCAGGTTGATCATGTACTTCAGCTCGCCAGGATTTTTAGCTTACGGCCGCAGTCATTTTCTTACGCTGACCTCCGCGCTCATTGTAATCGCGTCAGACTTGCAGTAAATAAGTGGATTTCGGCCATCCCAGATAACTCCCTTTCAAACATCAAAGGAGCATTTCGTGATACCGCATCCCACAATGAATATATGCTTTACTTCACTTCGGCAGTATTTGCATCATCACTCACCCCATTGTGCCAGGCGTGAAATCGGAAAGATTGATAATGTTGTTGAACTGCCGGACATTTTTTCTAAGGCAGTTAAAGAAGTTGCTGGCAATGATGTGCAGGTAACCAATGCTTTATCTGCGAAACCAACCTCCCCTCCCCAACCCCAACCCTCCACTGAACTCGTTCGTGTGCCAACACGCCAAACCATTCCGCCCCTAATGTCCTTACCTGCCCGCCCTAACCCCCGCTCTAGTTATTACCCCCGCATGCCAGGACGTTATACCCCGAACTCACCCTATCAGAACACCCCAATCCCGCGTCCTCTCTTTAGACCCCCTGCTGTTACCAATTGGATCCCTGAAAAGTCGGTCTGCCACAAATGCTTACATCATGGCCATTTTTCTCGCGACTGCCGGAACATTCCCGTATGCCCATTCCACAACATTTATGGACACCCATGGTATCAATGCAAAGTCTATACAGAGCAGAGTGCTATAACACAGGATTTATTAACAAAAGCTAGACGTGGAAGTAGCCCCCACAAAACACGAAAGTCGTGCTATTTTTTAGAGGAACTTCTCGAAGACCTCCAAGATACTCCCCCAGCAGACCCTTCCCCAGATACGGAAATCTTGCAAAGCCCATGGGACTCAGTACTCAATTAATAGCCTCTGCTACTGCTAGCCATTGCAATAGCCCCCCTCTGCTTCCTGCACGCCTCAATGGTAAACCAGCAATGTTCTTCTTAGATAGTGGTTCGTCTGTCAGTCTGGTGTCCGCTTCAACTTTGTCAAGGTTTGGGTTAGATCTCAAGATCCAACCTCCTCGCTGGTCTGTACGGGGTGCTTCTGGTAACAGTCTGAGGGTAATAGGAGAAACCAGGCTGAACATTAAGTTGGATGGGATTTTGTTTCTCCATCCATTTATTGTTACTGAGTCCCATACTGTCCCTGGTGATCTCCTCCTGGGCCATGAATTCCTCTGGCGTACAGGTATTGCTCATGACCCTAGGAATAACAGAATTAAGTTTAATGGTAAGTTTTTCTCCCTCGTTAAGCCCTCCTCCATGTGGACTCATCGCAACAGTTATGATGCACTCATGCCCCCCCGTAAGTACCACAACAAAGACTCAATTTCTGGCCATATAACTGGGAAAGAGATTCCCCTCAACAAACAAACAAATAACCCCAAACCCCCTGACCTCCCCAAGCATCGTCCCAGACTCAGGTGCCAGAGAAGTCCTGCTTCTGTGCCAAGTAAGCCTCCCACCTCTCAGGCCTTGGACCAAGATACTCCCGCTGCCCCTCCCCATAATATTCCCCCTTGTCCTACCCCAGCTACTGCTACACATTTTGGACCCTTTTCATGGACTATGGGCGACAGTGCATTACACTTTCGTGTAAAGGAAATTACCACCATTCCTCCATTCTCCGACATGCCTGTCAACGTTGTAACACATGTAAACGAGGGTGCATGCCTGGTCTTGCCAGAAGGATCTCGTGTTAAGGGAATTGCCATCTTGCCAGCACTTTATTCCATATCTAAAGGGGAGTCATTCCTCCACCTGATTAACTTAACCCCTACCCCCATCCGACTTCACAATAACACCCGGGTAGTTGATTATGAACTAGCTAAAGGTGAAGTCATGGAACTACCACCGCCTGCCTTCACTGCAACCACTCAAACTCAGCCCACTCTGGGCGAGCCACCTCCCTCCTCTCATGAAACACTCTCGACTATTCCCTCTCCAGATTTTGATAAGGGTTATGAGATCTTATCTCGCCTCTTCCGGGAATATCCCTCCCTATTGCCTTCTGAGTCTCGACCCCTTGGCAAGACTGATATCCTTCAACATAAGATTAACCTGGTTCCCAATGCTCAGCCTGTCTATATTCCAAGTTATCGCATCCCTCATAGCCGCCGCTCTGCTCTTGACAAGGCTACCGCTGACTTACTCGATCAAGGTATAATAACCCCAAGTACCTCACCCTGGTCCGCTCCAATGTTACTGGTACCCAAGAAAGATGGAACAATGAGACCAGTTATTGACTACAGACGACTAAACAAGTTAACTATTCCTGAACCATTTCCCATTCCCTCCCTTCGACTGTTATTACGCCGAGCGATATAAACAACATCCGGAGGGTGGTGCTCCACACATCTGTCCCTGGCTGAACAAAGGCTGCGCCTTCCCGTCGCCGCCTCCTGAGTCCACCTTATCACAGGAAGCAGCCACTTCGCACCTTCCACTCCTGACCCTGGTTTACCCAAGGACCTCCTAGGTGACCTACATGTCCCCCTCGGCAAGCCCAGCGACTCACCCCCCTGTCACGGTCTGATAACCTGACACTCCAGCCGCGGAAGCAAACTCCGCCCAGGACGTAGCCGCGGGATAAAAGGGGGCCATTCGCCATACCTCGGCAGAAGGAGCTCAGCTTGCATCCACTCACCTTGTAGCGAATAAAGCCAAAAGCCAAGGCCACTTTCATTATCCGCCTTAAGTCCATCTCTAGTGTCGCTTACATTTATCTCGTTGTTAGTATAAGAAATGTTCTCAAAAGGTAAAAGATATTTATTACAAAGGAGACATACATAATATTATTAAGAACTGTACTAAAAAAAATCTTTGTCGACAAATATACATAGCCTATTCAAGATGCAAAGAGCTCCACTACGTGCTGTTATCTTTTGTATTTTCTTTCCTCTTCTTTATTATATCATGTTTCTCCTCTTTATTATGCACTTTATCGGTATTTACACCTACATGGTTCAGTGTTGAATCACATACATCTTTCTGTCCTGCTGCTGTATCGTTTGGATACTTTCTTCAACTTGTAATTCTGTTAGCATAATTTTCCGCACCGACTAATTTGTGTTCTTATCATCGTCACAGGTTTTCTCGTCGGTAGAAAACAACTGCTCTCAAAAGGTAAAGGGTTATATTCAGTACAATTGAGACATGTTACAGTTTCCTGTAAAAAACTTTAATTAGGGGCACTAAGTTTTGAAAGGGTACTGCGCATTAATTAGATGGTCTAAGTTGTTTTGTCATGTTATTCATTGTTGATCATATGAAGGTGAACCGTTTAACTGAAGACTCTAATGCTGAATTTGATATATCTACTATGAATAAGGAATCTTCTACGTGAGAAATGTTACTTAGCGAGAGTTAGGGAGATTTTTTTTTTTTTTTTTTTTTTTTGCGTGCGGAATGTTACTTGATTTTCAAAGGCTACACACTGTGAAATTTTAAATGAAAAAGTTTTTTCTTCTATACAAGAGAGAGAGAGAGCGCAAGCGAGCGAGGGAGCGAGCGAGAAATGTTACCTAGAGTTGGGGAGCAGACGAAAGTTTGTGTGCCTGAAATGTTGCCTGAGATCGGGGGAGTAAGTAAAAATGAAGAGTTATTAAGACTTCTCTCCTGCCTTTTCCTCAATCTTTTGTTCGTTGTTGTTCGTGTTGTCCTACTCACAACTGTGTATCATTCGTTTGTATTAGTGATCAAGAATGGAAGAGCAATCAAAAAAAGCCATAAGTGGTAAGTTAAGTATCATATGTGTGTTAACTGCGTGTCATTCGACAACTTTTTACGTGTGTGTGATATGTATGTATAAAATCTATAAATGCATAAACTATCTAATAACTTTTAAGAATATTAGGATATTATACATATTAACGTAGCCTACTCTATGTACAAGTGTATACTGAGCTTCGTGTCTTTATAATGCTATTCCTATGCATTTTCATCATATATTTTCATCTTCACTAGTAATAAAGATATTACACAGTAAGATCACAAACATGCTTGATAACTCTGGAAACAATTATTACGTTGGTACTTTTCACTTGGTAAATACTGTTTGAATGCATTCCGCTTGACTTCATATTACACATTCCTTCCGATGTTTTTACATTCAACGCAAATAACAGCTATGAATGCGCACTATATATTTTCGTATGGAAACAGCTAATCCAAATATTTAGATGGATGGACAGCATTTATTCACAAAAAGTATAACGGATATTTTATCTAATCATTGGAAACGGACATAGCTGACAAATGCTCTTGCCATGGAAAGAACTCGCCTTCGTCTCACTGAACATGCACATGCCTCGCTCTTACAACGTTAATGCAAGCCTTTCATGTGTCGACGGAGTATCTTGTCTCGCTATACAACGCGCCTTCGTTTCACTGAACATGCACATGCTTCGCTCTTACAACGTCTATGCAAGCCTTCCATGTGTCGACGGAGTTTCTTGTCTCGCTATGCAACGTGACTTCGTCTCACTGAACATGCACATGCCTCGCTCTTACAACGTCAATGCAAGCCTTCCATGTGTCGACGGAGTGTCTTGTCTCCTTTGGATTACAGAGCTGGCTAATGTGACTCATCGCGTAAGTGCGTAGAAGGGAGATCAAATTTTCTGTCATCTCTTCCATACACGTATAACCTGAATGAGGTGTTGATACGCCCTTCATTACCCATTTCTCGTTAACCATACTACCCTATAAACCGGCCTAAATATACACAACTCGTTTTAAATTGCATCATACACAGACTTATTCTCGGACTGCTCTATCAGAAAGATCGTTAGTCAATTTTTTTTTATTTATCTTCTTAGAAATTTGTTTCTCGATAGACATATCAGGACATTATCTCTTAACCTTCCTTCACTGTATGATAATAAATCGTATTTAAATAATAGCATTTTTGTAAAAACAAACAAAAAAATGTTTCTGTTATGCCAGCTGTAAAAAATATAATGATAATAAAATGTTGATATCATACAATAAATATATCGTCTTCGAACATATACAGCTTTTCTATTATTAATATGGCTAAGTGCATAATTATACTCTTCCAATGCAAATATTGTTGTGTATATAGTATTAGGCATTATACATTTGTAGAGACTAGATTTAGAAAGATGTTTTATCGCATGACGCAGCTTTGAATAGGATGAGAAAAAGTCTGTCATCATCTTGTGGGGTCACTTTCAATTGTTTAGTCCTAACATTGTTGTTAATATTTGGGTTAGAGAACATATTTAGTTACATATGTATACATGTTAATCGATAATATATATATATATATATATACATGTGTAGTAGGTAGAAATAACAAGACAAACGTCGCTTTCATGGATATTGTTGAACAAGAAAAATTATTAACTGAGTACTATGGTGATAAAAAATACGATATAGTTGGTTTTCGTCGCTTTATCGGTCTATGGCACTTTTGAAAAGGTAATCTTTTATCTCTGAGTATAGCACATACGTTCGAAAATATTCTTAACATACCCGTAACCTTTGTTTTAACTGCGTTGCGCTCTACTTTTTATAAAAGTGATGAAAACAGAGGATCTAATCGTTATTAGTAACCATTCTTATCGTCGTCACAAGTTGTTTTCTTATCGGTAGAAAAAAAAGTGTTCTCAAAAGGGAAAGGATGGAGACATGTTACAGATTCCTTACTAGCCTGATATCGAGATAACATTTGGGGATGTTAATGGTAACAATGGTGATGGTAATGGTGATGATGATGGTTGTGGCGGCGGCGGTGACGGTGATAGTAATGGTTCAAGCGTTTTCACTTGAAAAAAAATCTTAGTAAGCTTTCCTAATTCCTTATCAGCCAATCTACTCTTCATTTTCATTATCTAGAAATAATCTTTACCGAACTGTTAATTGCCTCAGTTTTTATCTTTAAAAACTTATTCACCTCGACATGTTAGAAAAGCTCGATACGAGTGTGTGGATATGTAGCGTTTTGAGAGTGCAGTCCGCCTCGCAGGGAATGACTCATGCATGAAGCATTTCCGATCTAGCACACCACTTGTGGCACGTATTCAACAAAGAATATGTGGGCTCAGACTTTGAGATGGAAGAGTAATTTTTTTGGGGGAGGGGGGAGGGAGAAAACTCATGTTTAATTAGGGGCCCTAAGTCATAGGGAGAGAGAAAAAAACTAGGGGCACTAAGTTATAGGAGAAACCTTGTTTAATCAGGGGCACCAATATACAGGGGAGAGAGAAATCTTTAATTAGGGGCACTAAGTTTTGTGATGCTACTGAGTTCACCAAGTTTTGTAAGGGTCCTGCGCAGTAATTAGATGGTCTAGGTTTTGTCATGTTATTAATTGTTGATGATATGAAGGTGAACGTTTAACTAAAGAATCTAATGCTGACTTTGATATATAAAATATGAATGATAATTTGTACACGTGAGAAATATAATTTAGCGAGTGTTAGGGAGATCTTTTTTTTTATCGTGTGGAATGTTTCTTGATTTTCAAAAGCTACAAACTGTGAAATTTTCGATGAATAAGTTTTTTTTTCTTCAATACACCTACTTTGAAGGAGAGCGAGCTCGAAGGAGAACGAGCGAGCGAGCGAGAAATGTTACCTAGAGTTGGGGAGCAGACGAAAGTTTGTGTGCATGAAATGTTGCCTGAGATCGGGGGGAGTAAGTAAAAATGAACAGTTATTAAGACTTCTCTCCTGCCTTTTCCTCAATCCCTTGTTCGTTGTTGTTATTGCTGTTGCCATACTTACAACTGTGTATATTTCTTTTGTACTATTATCAGTGACCAACAATGGAAGACCAATCAAAGAAAGCCATAATTGGTAAGTTAATTATCAAATGTGTATGTGTGTTCCGGACAACTTTTAACTGCGTGTGATATGTGTTTTAAAAGTATAAATGTATAGTGTCTAATTACTTTTAAGAATATTATTCAGATAGTTTTCATATTATCATCGTACTCTGTGCACAAGTATATACTGAGGTTTGTCTTTTTAATGCAGATTACGAGTGAAAAGACGAAGCAACGAATATGTGGGCTCAGACTGTGAGATGGAAGAGTAATTTTGCTTACGAGGGGAGGGAGAAAGTTATAGGGAAAGAAGACGAAGCAACGAATATGTGGGCTCAGACTGTGAGATGGAAGAGTAATTTTGCTTACGAGGGGAGGGAGAAAGTTATAGGGAAAGAAGAAAACAATTTTTTTATTTATTTATTTAGCGTGTGGAATGTTACTTGATTTTTAAAGGCTACACACTGAAATGTTACATGAAAAAGAAAAAAATCTTCAATACACCTAGATTGAAAGAGAGCGAACGGGCGAGCGAGCGAGCGAGAAATGTTAACTAAAGTTGGGGAACAGACGAAAGTTTGTGTGCATGAAATGTTGCCTGAGATCGTGGGAGTAAGTAAAATTTATTAACTGTTATCAAGACTTCTCTCCTGCCCTTTCCTCAATCCCTTGTTCGTATTTGTTGTCCTATTCACAACTGTGAGTAAAGAAGTAAAGTATCATATGTGTGCGGGTGATCCGGACAGATTTTAACTGCGTGTGTGAAATGTATGTATAAAATGTATGAATGTATAAAATGTCTAATTACTTTTAAGAATATTATTCAGATATTTTCCATATTATTTACGTACCCTGTGTATAAGTGTATACTGAGCTTCATGTCTTTCTAATGTTGTTACTATGTATATTTAATATATATTTTCATCTTCATCAGATGAAGTCGAAACATATACTTTAATCATTTTAGGGCCTCCGGAACGCAAATACAATTGTAAAAGTTTAGGAAAGGATTTTACAGTTACTAAGGCGAGCTGAAGCATGACGCATTTTTTATCGCGCCACGTCAACCACAGGGTGACCAACGTCACTAATGCACCTGTGTAGAGCATAATGTCAGTTCGGGATTATATTTGTAATTCATTCTTATTAGACCATTTGTCGTAAGTTAAGATTATAAGTAGAAAGAAGCCATGTACTATTATATAATTACTAGTAATAAAGATATTGCACAGTAAGATCACAAACATGCTAGATAAATGAAAACAATTACTACGTTGGCACTTTTCACTTGGTAAATACTGTTTGAATGCATTCCGCCTGACTTCATATTCAC